ACAAAAATGGAGTTAGTGCGCAAAAGTAATAGATTTATCAATTCCTCCTTCACTTGCATTCGGTTTCTCTCTCCCTGTAATGTCATCTAAAGCTGACTATACCTGTGCAAAACAATAAAAAGAGGACTAACTATGGAGTTCAGCTCTGTCTACACACCACTACATGACTGAACACTTTTTAAAGGGCAACCCAGATTTTTACTGTAAACCTCCTACTGCTTATAACATCTAATTGGCCAATTCTCTCACCACTTTCTCAAGGAGATCGAATAATGATAATGGTAATAATGGCATGTAGCCCAGCTGGCGCCTCCTAGGCTAAGTGCACTTGCACGCATAGACATAAGACCTAATTACATCCTCCATTATTCGGGCTACTCTACCGCCCATTGGCCACAGCAGGTACTGTGGGGTGGTTAGCGATGTTGTATCCATCTCATTGTCCCATGCAACTCTCCAAGGATGCTGGCTGTAACATCCAGACACTGATAATGAGGCTTAATAGGTGTGATGGCTTGGCGATGCTGCAGCTGTGCCATACTGGTTCTGACCTAACCTGAGGTACTTGCTTTAAGGGTTTTAGTGGCACTAGAGTGAAGGTTGTGTCTGTATGGCTGAGGACGATGCCTTACTTTGCTTATATGCTACAGCTGGAGTGTCTAAACAACAACTGAAGCTGCTCAAAAGGTTACATCAACAGCAGCAGCAGCAGCTGAGTCCCAGGGCTCTAGGCCAGGATTCCTGAAGATCCGCTGTATTGTGCACATGTGTACTTATGGTTTGTGTCTGTGTGCATGTGTGTCTGGTTATTATAGCAGTTATCCATAAATTTTTTTATTGACATTTTATTGAAATTTTTTTTAGAATCTCTTTTATAAGCAAACAAGAAGCGAAGGGGAAAAGATTTATTTTATAGATTTGAGTGCAATGCCTGTTAGTGTGAATGTACATGAAGGTGTGTGTATTTTGTGCCTACACTCCCCAGAGCTCCTAACACCATGCTCTCTGCCCCACTAACCAAGGATGATTAATAAAGGGCAGGAAGGGAGAGTGTGAAAGAGACACAGAGCGAGAGAGAAGCACTGGGACAGTGCCATAAAGAGAAGTGGGGAGAAAATCATCTCTGGCTTTAGACTTGACTCCCACGCTAGCCTGTTTTTGCTCTTTAAAGCACAGGGGAGTTATAGGTGCCCAAGATGGCAAAATTTTTCATCACCTATTTCTTCACTGTCATCCTTACTGGTGTGGCCTAGATGTCCATATTCTGTTGTGATCAGCATAGATCAGCACGTCAACGTACTGTTGGAACAGCCTCAAAAACTCCCCCCTGGCATCAGTATACAGATGAGGTTGTTATATTGTATGAGTATGCAATGTGCCTATCTGCATGTCTGCACTGTGTGTGTGTGTGTACATTCCTGTGTGGTAGCCTCATGTTTAATTCACATCTTGCATAATTGAGTTAGCAAGTGAATTTTCTCCACTCTGATGGAGGCACTGGGCCTAGAGGATCAGCTGTTACTAGGAAGCCCAGGGAGCTGCAGTGATGTGACAGTGGCTGGCAGTGACGCACACGCTCTCTGGGTCTTCCAGACATTTCCTTTTGCTCTTCCCAACTTCCTCTTGTGCTCTCTGGAGCCGGTGGGTTTCCAGTGCTGCTGCTGAGTGGAGCTAGAGGGGAAGAGACAGTGTGCAGAGGTGCAAAGGCAGAAATGGGGATTTGAAGGAAGGATAGAGAGAGACAGGATGCAGATGCAAGTCTCTGGAGGCTATTATCTATCTCAGCTATTGATTGAAAAGGGATGGGAACTGACTTCACTTACTGTTTCTAGCTGCTTCTGGTGCATTATATATTGTCTAGGGGCTGCAGAGATGTTTCTCTCACACACATTCATCCTCACATCCATCCCCCTTACTGCTTTGGAATGAAGATCACAGAACGCCTGTGCCAAGACCTCACAATATACAGGTTGTTGGATATGCCCTTTTCCTGGATATCTTTGATTAAGCTGACAGATGCCTCCATTACAATCTCTGTGCTCAATACGGGAGTCTATTTCTGCTGGTACCCCCCAGCTAGGGATCAGAAAAGATGCTTGATGATAGCGTCATGAATGGCATCCCAGAATTCCTTTTCTGCTGTGCCTCCAATAAGATTGCAGCCTGAATCACTTTGCTATCAAATCATATATACAGCATGTAGCCATTTGTATACAACTGAATGAATGATGACTCTGACTTCAGTTAATAATTTCCCTTTGCAGTGCACACTGGAGCACAGACATTTGTGTTTTAGTTGATTTATATTATTGTGTGAATGTTTGAAACACATGTACAAACCCTCTCTTTAAAATACATCCACTGTACTTTGTGTCTGAGTCAGACAGTTGGAATTGATACAATATGGTCAGGAAATGAAACGGTAATTAACAGATTGCACGTGTTTACATGAAATTATAATTAAGTGAAATATTCAAACAACTTTGGGCATTTTGCTTGAAAGATGGTTGTCACTTGATTGTTTAGTCACATTGTCTTAATGGTCCTTAGTTTCTGGCATGATAATGAGAGCGTGTTGTGTCTGCAGAATGCAATAATTCATTTGTTTCTCTAAGCTAGTTTTAGAGGCTTTATAATTATCTTTGGATTTTGATGTACAACTGCACAACTGAGTTTGAATAAAGCAGAAGCAGTTTCTGCTTCTGAAAACAATTTGTTGCCTACTGAATATCACATTTAGAGTTACCTGCTTCCACTCAAACATCAGCATAACTGCCGTTACCTGCTGATCATGCCAGTGAAGAAGAATACAGAGTGACACGGACCCCTAAGTCTCCATATCAAACAGCAATAGTGAGTGTGGGTTAATCACATTAATGCGCCTCTCATATCAGGAAGCGCCTCTCAATGGAATCATCCTCTTGACAGGTGATGCTTTGTCACTGTGAAGAGATTTGCAGCCAGCTGTGAAAAATGGGGTTTGAGCATGAGAGTGGGAATACAACAGCCCAGAGAGCCCAGTCAAATAACTAGAGACATCTGTTCGTGCCTTAGAGGGGCTTCTGACGAAGAGCTGAATGAAGCAAGAGAGCCGTCAGGTCCACCGCTGCTTTGGCACAGAACTCATAGCAAAGTCATTTAAAGCTTTTTTTTTTCTTTAAAAGAGAGTTTAAAGTGATTATGAGTATTTTATGTAGATTAAACAAGGTGTCTGCTTTTCGTTTTGCTATTATCTGCTTAAGCTTGGGCACTGATCCTGCTGATTTGTTATTGGATTATTGACTGCTGATGCTGATGCTCATTTGTGCCTCTTTGTGGTTTTAATTGCACTGTTGCCTAGTTTACATGAACTACATACATATACTACGTTGCCCTCAACTGTCTTGATATTGCTTTCTACGCCAGTTGTTTCTTGGAAAGAAGTATTCTCATTGGTACCAACTGGCTAGATTAGGGCTGAATGAAGAAACAGGCACGTAGGTAAAATGATTACTGCACACAAACTAAACTGTAGTTGGGAGTGTGAAATTTTATTGGCCTCATTAATAATTTAAAACGTTGATAACAGAATACAAAAAAGAAACCTGGCAAACCTCTACTAGACACTTATTTGAAATATAAGCAGAATATTGCATCAGCCTCCATAGTGCAGTTGTATTTACTGAAACACCACACTGCAGATACGCTCCTGTAGAAGAACTTAAAGGACCATACCAGCATTTTTGTGTGTCAGACCATTAACTTCAAATCTGTAAACTCTATTCTACTGTTGATCATTTTCTAAACCATGCTGTAGTGCATTCAATGACCAGATTGGTTTTTCCTACATTCAAAGCTTCCTTTGTTTTCAATTCATGTCACTACAGTGCCACCCAGCAGAAACTTTCATTTAGATACTCCATCACAGGGGCTATACCATGTCTGCTTTTATTGTTGTCATAGGTATCACTGTGTGGTAATATAGATTTTTCACACACAGCTGCACTTCCATGCAATGCAAAAGCACAGAAAAGCAAAATTTATTTGTATAGCACATTTCAGTCCAAGGAAGATCCAATGTGGCTAACATTATAATCGGGACAAAACAAAAACATGTGTATATACAGCATGTAAATACAGTGGGTACGGAAAGTATTCAGACCCCCTTAAATTTTTCACTCTTTGTTATATTGCAGCCATATGCTAAAATCATTTAAGTTCATTTTTTTTCCTCATTAATGTACACACAGCACCCCATATTGACAGAAAAACACAGAATTTTTGACATTTTTGCAGATTTATTAAAAAAGAAAAACTGAAATATCACATGGTCATAAGTATTCAGACCCTTTGCTGTGACACTCATATATTTAACTTAGGTGCTGTCCATTTCTGCTGATCATCCCTGAGATGGTTCTACACCTTCATTTGAGTCCAGCGGTGTTTGATTATACTGATTGGACGTGATTAGGAAAGCCACACACCTGTCTATATAAGACCCTACAGCTCACACTGCATGTCAGAGCAAATGAGAATCATGAGGTCAAAGGAACTGCCTGAAGAGCTCACAGACAGAATTGTGGCAAGGCACAGATCTGGCCAAGGTTACAAAAAAAAATTTCTGCTGCACTTAAGGTTCCTAAGAGCACAGTGGCCTCCATAATCCGTAAATGGAAGACGTTTG